AAAAAAAAAAAAATATGGAAATGGTTTAAATTATTATTATTATTTTTTTTTAATTCAGGATCTCCCCCTCCCTTCCTCTCCCCCTCACTCCCTTCTTTTTCCTCTCCCTCTCCCTCCTCCCCCTCCTCCTCGAAAGAAAAATAAATAAATAAATAAAAAAAAGGAAAAGGTGCGAATAATTTTATCCAAAAAGAAAAAAAAAAGGGGGGTGAAAAAAAAGGAAAATTTATATAAAAGGATGGAAAAAAAAGGAATGTAAATAAGAAAAATATGTTTTTTCTTAAAAAAAAAGGAAAATATAAAAGATGAAAAAAAAAAATTTATTGACATGCGCTATATATATAGATATATATTAACGAATGAGGGTCCCCGTTTTGTCTCTTTTTATCATTTTGCAACAAGTGTTTACCAAATTAAGTTCAAACCGAAATTCGTTGTTAAAAATTAAAAACTTTTTTTTACGGTTAATCATCGGTAAGTTATTATCATTATCGTTATCAACTACCCTTTCTCTCTCTCTCTCTCTTTCTTCTGGAATACAATTTTTTATCGTAAGTATTTATTATCATTTCGTTAATTAATTTTTGTGTTATAAAGAAAAAACCTTTTGTGTCGCCTCCGCCGCCGCAACTTTTTATTTAAAACATTTTCATTTCGTGACACGTTATTTTTGATTAACGCCCAAAAAAAAAATCATTCGTTTTATTTATTTACTTACTGCCACGACCGATTTCTTTCTCTCTTTTTTTTTTTTTTTTTAATTTTTTCTTTTGTTTTCGAGTAAATAATTTTTTTTTTTAATTTGGGTGTGACGTCGTCAATGTGACGTTTTTCTTAAATAATTTTATTTAATAATATAAAAATTTATTTATTTATTTATTAAACGATAAATAAATAATTTTATTAAATAATAAAATGGGGACCTCGAAATAAAAATTTTCCAAACGTTTTTTCCTGAAATTTTACCAAAGTCGGAAAATTTTCATCTCTCCTTTGATTACCTTTATTTAAATAATTTATTAATAATAAAAAAACGGGTCCTTTTAAATTATTCTCTAATGATGATAATAATGATAACTAGTTTTATTACGTTTCGATAACCACTCTTTAACCACCATCACTATAAACAAATTTTGGAACTGACAGGATAGACAAAAAAAAAAATTGGAAAAACTTTTCCAGCGTTTCAATTATTTTTCAAGAGGATTAAATTAACTGTTTTCCTTCGATAGAGAGAGAGAGAGAGAGATAGAGAGAGAATCGAGTGTAAATTTTCTCGGTTGTTTTCCAAAAACTTAATGTAAATTGCTGTCGGATAAACATAAAAAACAAAAAAATTTAAATAATTTTATCATGATAAACTACCCTTTAAGGCATCAATTTTCTTTTATCCTCATCAGTTTTATTCACTCATTCTTTAACAACAATAACCGGGAAAGCAAAATTTTTTCAAATTTATTTTATAATAATAATAATAATAATAATAATAATAATAATAATAATAATAATAATAATAATAATAATAATAATAATAATAATAATTAATTTAATCACTTTTTTAAAAAAAAAAATTTATCGTGGGCTGAATAACAGGTAAAAAAAAAAAAAAAAACGATTTGATTTTCAATAAAAAAAATAAATTTTCTTCAAACTCATTTTTTTTAATTACAAAACTTTTAAGGGCTTAAAAAAAAATAAAATAAAATTTTCCCAGCGGTTAAAAAAAAAAAAAAAAATGAAAAGAAAAAAAACAATTTTCTTTTCTTTTTTTTTTGATTACTTTTATTAGAAAAAAAAAAAAAAGTTAAGAAAACCTTTCAATATGTTGTTAATTTTGGCATTTTACTAAAAAAAAAAAAATCAAAATCAATAGAATAATAATAAAAATCTGGTTTCGTCGTTTTCACTCATTCGCGATACGCGTATATATTATCATCATCATCATCATCATCGTATTCATGTGGAAAACTTGAAAATGAATGCAGCATACGTTCATGCAAATTAACTTTAAATTGGTCGGTTATTTATTAAAAAAAAAAATATGTGGAAAATTATTTTGGAATTTTTTTTTGTAAATTAATTAAAATGGCGAACCAAAATTTGGGGGGAGGGGAATAGGGGGGAAAAAATTTTTTTTCATTTAGTTTTTTCATCCGTTGATTCGAAGATATCTCTCTTACCCCCTTCTACCCCCCGTTCTTCCGTCTTCCCCTTCAAATCAACAGATGGAAAAACGAAATGAAAAAAAAATTTTTTTAAATTCGAGTTTTTCCAAAAAAAAAAAAAAAAAACCCGTTTATGATCATCATCATCGTTATTATCATTATTATTAATATTAATATTATTATTATTATTGTTGTTGTTGCTGTAAAAAAAATAAAAATAACGGGGGAAAAAAAACTTTT